AGAAATCTTCCACACTATTTTTTTTGTTGAAGTTTAACTCACAATCAGCTTATGGCTTTGCCCTAGAAGCATCTAATATTTTTTATTATTATCTCACCAACAGTAACTTACTCTGTGATTGACAAATATACTCGTCATTAGCTCAATTCGGACGACACAAAACTGTGCGCATTTTGAAGGGCGCCACAGTTAGCTGGTTAAATGAAATTGGTAATCAATTTTAAAATCAATTTTGTTTAAAGAAGTTTAACGATTATACAAAATAGAATCTTAAATATTTCGCTAAAAATTTAGTGAGGATATAAATTTAACCATTTCAATTCGAGTGGTGTCTATGGACGACATCCGCATAAAGTGATGTGTGCACGGTTGCCGTTTATGAACGACATGTTCTGTGTCAGTTTTTGCTCCAAGATATAACACTATGAGTTGAACTATTGGTAATTCTAATTTTTAGTTTATAGTCCAGTAATTATAGTAAGTTTATCTCGGAATTCGAGATACGCAGTTGTAAGTCTGTGAATACCCTAAGATAGCACTCTAAAAAAAAAGTCTCAAAACCTACATATGGTAAGATGTACGTAGGTTTTGAGACAACTTTTAGGGTGCTATTTTAAGGTATTTGCAGACTTACAGCTGGGTATCTCGAATTCCGAGATTTTTACCTAATTTAAGCTTAAATGACTGAATTATTATAATCGCAATTTTTCCGCATATTTTTATTGATAATGATAGAAATATCCTAAGATACATCGTTGTGTGTGGCCCGTTCAATGATACTACTAATAGACACGCTGTTCCGTACAGCAGCGACCCTCTTGTGTAAAAGGGTTAATATATTCGCTTCAATGTTGCAATACAAACCAGTATCGACCAAGAATAACTATGCCAATAAATATGGTTAGTCTTTTTTTTTATTATTTATTTGAACAGCAATCAGAACTTATGGGTCCTATGGGCTGTTGTGATGAATTTCTTACAAACTACGTTTGTTTTATTATAGATGGCAACCCAAACAGTTGTCTCATCTCTATGTGATAAATTTTTATTATTGCAATTATTGTAATAGTGATGAGTGTTTATTGGTGCAGCAATGCCGTATCAGGACTGTTTTCACTTGGAAACATATTGCTATCTATATTTCCAAGTGAAAACCGTTGTCACTACAGCTTGACAACAGGCTCCTCGAAGCGGAATCGAACCCGGGACCCCTGATCCAGGTCTAATTAAAGAATTTGGTTTATTTGCTCTTCACCTAATTTCATAACAATATTTTTTTCAACCCGTTCGGATATTTTATACAGCTGTTGTATTTGCATTTTGCAAAAAGTACATTTAGTTGAATAATGCAAGTATAGAATCAAATCGTTTCTACCAATGTTTGTTGTAAAGTGATTTACCTATTTACTTGTTTTTCGCGTGTTTCGAGAACAATAAATCTTTTCATCACGTTCGGATTCAATTTACCGGAACGTCAGCGCGCGTGTGTGTCTCCGCATGCAGATCGTCGCGATTGAATGGCGAGTGTCTCTCGCGGCAAGACCGGCCGATATGTAGGCCACTGGCACAATGAATAGCGGTTCTTCGCGCGGGTACCAACATCGCGACCGGCGCGCCGCGACGCATGTTCACATATGCGCTAGGCACGGGCCACGGGGATCTCTCTCTGTCAGACGGGATATAAGATACAAGATACAAGATAGAACTCACAATCAGCGCGGCGTCAAGTTATTTTTTGCGAAAACTTCAAATGTTATTTACTTCTTCTAGGGTAAGTTATTGTAATCACAAACTAGCTGTAAGTGGAAATCTGTCTTAAGGCATCGTGCCTTAAGGTAAATTGCTGGAACTTCCCGTACCAAAAATTATTATTATTCTTTAAAAACAATTAACATTTTTGAAAAAAAATTACTTCGAAAAAATTAGATTTTTGAGAAACTATAAATTTGACAAAAATTACTTTTTTTAAAAAAATTTTTTTTATTTTAAAACAAATTTTTTTTGAAAAGAAAAATGTTTTCTTCATTTTGACATATTTTGGAAATGCTGAACTTTTTTTTCAAAGCAATCGTACTGCTCTAACTGCATAGAGACGAAACATCAAAGCGCGTAAGCGCCGCGCCGCCGTCTAACGGATAAGCATTGGTACGGAATCCATAGAAATGTAAAAAAAATGTACTTATTGTTAAAATCTCTATAAAAGATCTGATAATTTGATGTGCATATGTCTAATGATCATTTTTGACCGCCAGATGGCATTTTTTTTTACTTTTTTTTACTAGTTCTCCGAAACCGCTAGACCTGCCTAGAAAATTTGACCAATTCTTCATCTTGTCAATACAAGTAAAATGTTTTTGAATTATTCAAATCGGACGCTCCGTTCTCTTAAAAACTGAGTTACCGTTTTTGACACTTATCTTCGGAACGACTAGACCTGCCTTTTCCAAAAACTAATCAGCACGTCTCCTTATCAATACGAATCGAATGTTTTTTGAATTATTCAAATCGGTTGATCAGTGTTCCCGAAATCGTCGACGAAAATTTGTATCCGAACATACATACATACACGCACACACATACACACACACACATACATTCATTTTTTCTAAGGTATGCCAAAATGTTCAGAAGGTTTTGAAAAGTAAAGACATATAAAAATTTTCATTTTCGATTTTTTTGCGACTACTATAGCTTAAAAAGTTAAAAAGTCGAAAACAAAAAATTTATTTTTTTATGTCAGAGGCTTCTGGATATTTTGGCATACGTTAGAATAAATTATGTGTGCATGTGTGTAAAATATATTTTTGTTTCAAAGGTTCCTGAACATTTTTGTAAACCTTAGAACAAATTGATGTATGTGTGTTCGTGTGTATGTGTTTTGTATAGCACAAGAAATGCGTTTAGGCATCCCAGACTAGGTCTTTTGTCTGATTGTGAATATGTCGGGCTCAATATTGCCTGGGTATAATACCCACTAAAACCTCCGCTTATCTCTTGCCTTAGATCACCGCGGAAACCCCTGTTGGGTGTTCATGGGGGAGTAAAATATCACGTGTATTTATTTTTTACCTCTACTTCAAAAACATTTCAAGTTTTTAAAATTTTTTTCCAAAAATTTAGCATTGTTCCTAGATACTAAAAATACACTTGATGTTGAGTGGGGAAGGAGGCGTAATTTTAAATATTACCAGGTATCATCAAGCGGGAGGGATTGGTTTAAAAATCCTTAAAATTAAATGACGTGATTAATGGACGCCTCCTTAGTTTCGTGATAGGCAGGTCCAACTGTTTCGCAGGTACTGAGTGCAAAGAGTTACAAAAAATGATGCAATTTTTGAGAAAATCAATCGTTCGAATAGGAAACATTTTGCTTATGTTTCAGATGTGTAGATATTAGTTTTTGAAGATGGCAGGTCTAGTGGTTTTAAAATTTTTAAAATAAATTAACTTTTCTGTTAAAATAAAATAAATATTTTTTATTATAAATGGGATTGTTTCATCGCTGACGATTTCCTTGTATGCATGCTATGTTTCATGTAAGTAAAACGTGTTGCCATATGGGCAGGATACATTTAGATGAGGAATGTAGTCAACATATTTTCTTACCACTTAAATCCAGTAACTTTCATTATTTCTTTTAAACTAAATATATTTTTTGGTGTTTTGATAGAAGCCTAGATTTTGTTTACGTACTTATATTATCTACGAAAAAATACTATTTATTTTAATCTCTCTCTAATCTATCAATCTAATTTATTTTGGTTTAAAATGTTTATATTGCATCATGTATATATTTTTGTAAATGATATATATGGCCACTTTTGGTCGAGTTTAGCAAAATTGCAAAAGATATAGTTTAGGGTTGTGTTTATTTAAAGTTCATAGATGTTTATTACAATATTCAAGAAGTTGGTATTAATATTTATTGAAAGTGGTGCATTTATTATGCCTGCATATACGTAATTAATTTTGATAATTCTTAAATGAATTCAAGGTAATGAATCAAAATGAAAAATTTGAATTTATCGCTACTATGCAAATCTAACAGTACACTTGATTTTGCAACTTCCTAGAAAAATATTAAAGGGCTTACTCATGACAGAAATGCAATTGAAAAAATGCAAGTTCTAAATTGTAATTTAAATAAATAACTTAAGGCAGGTGGTGAGTAGCCCCCTGTGATTGCAGCCATACGGTGTTTTTCTTTTCTATGCATTACTTTAATAAAATTGGTCTTCATTTGTTTTACATGGACTATATGTGTCGAAATCACTCAAAGAGACATTGTTTGTGAATGTTATTATGTAAATATGAATATTTTTTTATTTTATTGATCAATACATTTAAACTTATATACTTAATGTTTAATATATTTGCTACCTGTGGAACATAAAAACTAAAATAAAAATGCCTATATACATACAAATATTAATTTATTTATATAAAGACAACTTAATTATTAATTAACGTTATTATAAATTAATAATAATTTATTACATGCAATAAAATAATAAATGTTATCAACTGTAAGAGCACTTCTTGTATTTTTACTTTATGAAAGTCCAAGAATGTGCGATCATTTCAAATTCACATTTTAACACTTTTCATTCCAAAAAAATTCTTGCACAATTTTAAATTTTGCAGTAATTTTGTTGCTAAAATTGTCCTTCGCGTGCTAACATAATTTATATTCCATCGTAGGGTATACGAAAATTCATACTTCACAATACGCACAAATAAATATTTTCATTTGCATTATCTACAATTGGATGGCGTTTCTGTGGGTGATCTCGAATACGTCTACCTTCATTTGACATTTCCAATCATCATCGAGTAGATATGGAACAATAAACCGTAATATTCATACTTCCAATTCTCCAAATATTTAACAATTTTAGTTTCTTTTATTCGAAAAATAGACAACAAATATTACGTTATTGCTGCACCCACTACGCCTTTAATAGATTTTTTTACATAATTTCAAATCACTTTTCAGTCGATCACAGACTAGTAGCATGTGATATCCAATCCACTGTATGTGCCACCCTATGGTAGATCCCAGGTTGACCTCGGGTTGCACAACTATAACCGGCAGATACGACTCCGATTAAGTACCATCTTCCCGATTTTTCCATCATGAGTGGTCCACCACTGTCTCCTTGACACGAGTCCTTACCACCGCCCCGGTATCCTGCACAAAGCATTTCCGGGTAGATTACTACATTTATTCCATTGGCACGATGCCAACGTTCGCAGATGCGATTGTCTAATACTGGAACATCAACAGCCTGAAGAGTCTTCGGACGAAGACGCGAACCAGGACTGAGAGCGCCCCATCCGGCCGCCCAGCCGTACTGCCCCAAAAAGTCTGCGTTCTTTTCTGGCAGGCAAATGGGAGCTGAAAATTGGGAAAATGGATTATAATTAACTTTGCTTTTGATTTATTCCTTACGATAAAATAGTTGTGACGTAAATAACTCTACCGCTACGAGAGTCGTCTATAGACGGCATCTGCTTGACGACCTTTGTCTAAGAATGCCACCTATTGACGACATCAATTGTGATGAGTTTTGCTTTAATATTCATCACTCTGTGTGATATTATAGAAGATTCTAATTTGCTATTATGGTTTTTCAGTTTTTCAGAAGTAAAATTAATTTAAAATACATTTTGATCGATAGTGATTGGAAAATTTGACAATATTTTGTGAAACAAATATTGGACAACTTGTTGGCTAATCCAGCAGCGTCACTCCTGCAAAAAACACTCTCGTGGCGAAAGGGTTAATCAAGTCATATTCGCATACCATGAAAAAAATTCAGCCTTATGTAAATTTGAAAATATTTGGAGTTAATTAGTATCTCCAGTTTCTCAATTTTATTAAGAAATTTAAACTTCATTTACGTACATGCCGAAAAATATTTATGTACATAACAATAAGTGTGACTTTTCTAAGAAAATATTGTTTCTGTGTTATTGCAACGTAGTAGAGAAACTGTGGGGTTATATTTTCATATAAATTAAAAAAAATAGTTTGATCTATTTTGATCACTATTTCAATGTTTATATTAACATCTATCATGATTTAATATAAATTTTTGCAACGGTTGAAATATGAAAAAAGTACAATATAATCTTGCAGCGGACAATGCATGTTGGTAACAAGTCCTACTTGCACGACAGAGATCCTTGGATCGGGTCCTGGTACTGACTATATAATACTAAATCGTAATACCGAATGTGGGATGGTAGACATAATATTGGAGATTGATGTTTATTGGAGATAGGATATATTGAGAAATTTGAATATGCTTATATACTTACGATGGAATAAAAAAGGATACTAAATTTTTGTAAAAATTAAAGAAGTACGTAAAAACAAATATCATGTGGAACGTTGAATAGATCAGAATATAAAAAAAATATGTAACATAATTAAGGAGTAAAAATGAATATAAAGTTGAACGTTGTATTGAAAAGGAATATATCCTAAATAAAAAAAATGTATTTGATTGAATACTCTAACAAAAGCATTATCAAATAATTTTTGTTTAAGTCTCTATAGACCAGCGTAAGTTTCAAGTCACATTCCAATTTTTTTTAATTTTTTACCTAATAATTGTTGCATTTTTTGTGAAATGATGCATCAATATTAATTCTATAATGTTATCAAGACGAGCAATATCAATATTTATGACCTTTGATCAGCTTTTTTAGTCTGAAGTAACAATTTCATGCACAGAAGTGCAAATATTATAGGACGTTGTGATTTGGAAGTCACAGAGGTGACTTTGTGATTCTAATCAAAGTCACATAATTTATTAATACCAAAGAAATCGCTTAAACATAATTTTTATTTGCAAACACAGGCTTATCATCACTGATCTTTAGTTTGCCTATTTTTTAGATGTAAACCAAAATTCGGTTTATAGATGATTGAGATCATTCTATCAATCAATATGCATTTTCCGTATATCAATCAAGGGCGGTATACCAAAAGTTTTTTTCCTTTACTATCGCGGAATGATTTTGAAATAAAATCAGTTATCTTTCAAACACAGATCATTGACTTCTATTGAACTAGCTCGATTGCTCGAGCACATGTTTCGGGGGATACCTATGTGCGGCATGTAATGGACAGGTCTGTCCAGCGTGAGTACGGCGACGTCGAACCGGTCCGCCTGTGGTGTGAACTTGAAATACGGATGCACTTGAATCGAACGGACTCCGAATGTGTAGGCTGGCAAGGGCTCCACCGCAGAATTGATGACATAGTCGCCTAGAGTCACGTGGACCTGGCGAGCAGTCGCCCTCGCCACGCAGTGACCGGCCGTCACTATATGTCGCCGCGATATCAGCGAACCACCGCACCTGGGTAAAAGATACATTGTTAGTTTCATACTTATATAGGATATTAATTAATATTATTAATTATTATTATAATTATATAGGATATTTGTAATAAAACCATTTTTATATGGCCTAAATTCCTATACAATAGGACATATTTGTCATAATAAAAAAAAAGTATGATGTATTATTAGATTGTTTGTGAGATAAATATTTCTTTTGGAGTGATTATAAATTTTTCTCTAAAATTCAAACTTCTATAATAATTTTAGGTTTTGATATCTTAAAGCCTGTTCACACGACGCTTGTGTTGTTGCTTTTTTGGTCGGCTGGCTAGCATGCTGCCCAGTAAACACCGGGCGGTGGTAGCAATCTGAAGTCCACATTGCGCTATTTTTGTGGATGGATTTGTTTGTTCGAACCAATAGTGAAACAGTATTTTGCTATGTGATATATAATATTTAATAATCTAGCAAGCTAAAATAAATCTCACTCAAAAATCTAGCAAGTTAAACAAATTTCACTGCCTATCATGCTGCCTGATGTCTAGCTTGTTAGCCAGTAGACCAAAAAGCAAAGAAGCAAGCCATTTGTAATTAGAGATTTAAATGTGCGCTATTTCACTCAAAAATCTAGCAAGCTAAACAAATTTTACTGCCTATCAGGCAGCCTGATGTCGAGCTTAGCCGAGCTTGAGATAGAACCTAGCACTAGTTTGTGCTAGCCCACGTCCTTAACCACTTACGTTAAGGCAGGCTCCTACTCTTTTTATGCATTAGTTTTGGTTTGTGGTTTTTTAAATATTAATTAAATATGATAACAATACTGTTCAAACTAAAAAGAAATTAACTCGTGCGCATAGAGAAGATGCTTGGTTAGCAACTCACTTTTTATTTCAGTGGGCACCATGTTTTGTAAGGGCTGAATCTGTTAAAAGTTGAAGAAATAGTTATGAAGTTGGAGAAAAATTTATTTGATCAAAATTAACTTAAACTTTTAATTAACCGAATGTTAGGATCTACTAGTTTGAAATTCAATATGACACCATCATCAAAAATTCACTAATATGAAAGTCTTCAATATTTGTACAATTTCAGTATAAACTACCATTCCTACATTTCTTCAAAAAATTATTTCCTTAAAGTAAAGTCAAATACAGTTTGATTTTATAAACTATTTTGTAAAACAAACAAAACAGAAAAAAGTGTCTGACTAAATAAGAAAATGTAATATTGTCAGAAAGAGAGAAAAATCTGTTTTCTTTATTTTTACACATAAGTTCAATTAATATTTTTTTCAACGTAGTGATATAATTATTGCATAAGTGAAGTGTAAATATTGTTTAAGAATCAAAAACCAATAGTGGAACAACATTTTTCATTATAGTTATCCAAAACATCATAAAGCTGATTTTTAAAATTTGAACCACACTTAAATTCACTGTGTAATCTTTCTTTTATTGAATTGTATTATTAAACTTTGGAACATATTCAATTAATTAATCAAAATTGTTGAATTCACATTCTCTTTACCAATTTCAATGATAATACAACAAGACAATAGTAAAAAAAAATTAACCAAAAAAGATAAACTAATAAGTATAATTAAACCAACGATATCATAAATACACATACAACTATTCTCAACAACTGCGGCATTTATACGTGTTTGATTTTTAACTAAATTTTATGTTTTACAGTCTAGAATTTTCTTCGAAATAAAAATTACTTTAGAATGTTAGTTTCAATCAGTTTATTACATGCTATGTATATTACTATTAGAAATCTGACAGCTTATAAATAACAGTTGTGGATTCTAGGTGTTTTAACGCTTACGATTACTTGGAAACCAGTATACATTAATAAAATATATCAAGGGTATTTGTTTTATTTATGGTAATTGATGTATTTATAATATCATCTGTTCATTAAACGGTATATTTGCTATTTGTGAAATATCACCTAAGCCTGTGGATATGTATTTTTTTATTCTTTTGAACAGCAATCAGAACTTATTAGTTCTATAAGTTGAGTTAATACTACGCCAATTTCACAGATGGCAACCCAAACGGTTGTCTCATCTTTGTGTGATGATTTTATTATTACGATTTTTGTAAAGTGGCGCATATTTTATTGCTACAGCAATGTCGGATAAGGCTTATTTCGAGGCTATTTCTATTTTCAAATGAAAACCGATGTCACTACTGCTTGACATCAGGCTCCTCGAAGCAACATTGAACCCTGGTCCTCTGATTTAGGGATAAGTAATCTTACGTTTCTGTATGATTAGATATTCTAATCAATGCTTCTATTAACCAAATATTTATTAAACTTTTGATCCAGATTTCAACCTTATATTTTTATAAGGAATGGGCTTAAAATTTTTTAGCCAACGGTCGTCTTTTACTAAAATGGCTTGTCCGCGTTGAAATAAATTCGGCCTAATTTACACAACTGAACTTGCAAATTTCTACAAATATAACACTAATGGATTTGTTAATACTAATTCACGAGTAAGTTAACGCTTTTGTTTTCTATGCAACGCCAACGTTCTAGAAGAGAGAAATTCCACTTTCATTGTTTGTGAACGTAATCAACAAATTTAGGCGTGCAAGTTTCTAATCAACAAAAAATAAACACTATTGGATAACTTTTACAATAGCAAATAACGAGCGTTCTAAAATTTTTACTTTACTATTATTATTAAACCGCTATTGCAATTTCAGTCACCTTGTATCAGTTATTACAAGAGTTATTATATTATAATTACAAATTTACAATCAGCCTGCATGGTTTATGGTTTATTTAATATATGAGATGAATGTAGAAAAGCATTTTACTGATACCATAACATTTCATCTGGCTTCTGCAATAAACATGTTAATTGTAATAGCAGAAATTTCTATTTACGCGCATAGTCTCACGTCATTTTGTTGTTAATTTTGTACAGGGTTTTGGTACTTGGAGGACGTTTAAAATATCGGAAATAAATAGTAATTTGGCCGCGAATTTCTAGTTTTTACTGAGTAAAAGCAGAGTCTTATTATTTATTTTTTTAATAGCAATCAGAACTTAAACAGTTTCATGAGCTGTTATGCTGGACCTTCACTTTTATCTTAGATGGCAACCCAAATGGTATATTTTGTAGAATCTCACTTATCCAGTACAATTAAAAACCAGAGAATTAGAAACCAGAGAGAAAAAATTTAGTGAAAAAAATATAATTCTTAATGTCATATTAAAATAGTTGAAAAAGGGTCTGGTCGTGTTTCTATACAGAATCGGTCCCACTCTGGTAATTAAATGATTTTGATGCCATTTTATATCTTTTTTCGAAAAATTCCGATATACCAAATAGCAACTCCCTAGGTCATCATCAGTTGAATTCCAAAATTATCCAGGACTTTGGTCGCTGAAGGTTTCGGATTACTGGAGTTGTCAATCTATCAAAGTGCCAAATTAGTGATATTTTACTGTATTTTTATTATTGGAATTTCTCTAATAATAATTTAATATTTTTAATGACAAATTTTAATATTAAATTAATGCATCAATGCCAGAAAAGGCGATTTTTATCGCAAAAAGTTAGATCTATATTTTCAAGCAAAAGCTATTATTTATATTGCTCGATATCAGGCTGGACGAGTTTGCAAGGCCAAAGTTCTTATCACTTAACCACGCTCAAACCCTTAGTAAATGCATTAATAAATATTTTATTTTCTCCAATATTTCAACGTAAAGCTTATAAAGTAAAAGAAATATAATGAAAAAATCAAAAACTAATATTTTGCCGAAAAAAGTAATTATTTCTCTTCCTTTTCCACAATTAGGTGCATAATTATTATCATATATTGTAGTTGGTACAATTATTTTGTTTTGCATATCATTCATATAATTTAATAGGCCCTATATATTATTTTCAAAATAAAATTTATGTGAATAACAATCGAAAAGAAAACATTCTATATTTACTGTTATTAAATATAGGCTAGGAAGGCTTGCATTAATTACGTGAGGTTTTTAGAGGGAGTGGGGGCTCGACAAAAAATCACAAAATATCATGTAGGGGAGGGATGGGTATAGTAAGATATCACGTATATTTATTTTTTACCTGATTTTTTTTTAAATCCAAACATTTTCAAAAAAAAAAATATATATAATTTTTTCTCGAAGCTAAAAATACACGTGATGTTTGGTGGGAGAGGGGCAGTAATTTTCAATATCACCATGTATAATCAATGAGGAAGAGGGTTCCAAAAATCCTTAAAAAGTCGATCACGTGATTAATGAACGCCTCCTAATCCAATATCGCTTGATAAAATAAAATATGAAATATTTCCTTTGAATAAAAACCGAAGATCAATAATTTAATTTGAGTTTTAATTACAATTTCGCAAATTTGACTATAATTTTGTGTTTTGTGGTTCTCCATTAGTGGTTAGTGTTATGGGATTTAAACAAGAAATTCCAGATTTGACAAGTGACAATGGTTGGTAGTGACATTGGTTTTTACTCAAAAATATAAATAGCAATATGTTAACAATTTAAAATTGTTTTTGGCCCGCATTGCTGTACCAATAAAAAAAATATTTGTATTACAGAAACTGTAAGAACAAATTCATTACTTAGAGCATAACCCTTTGGGTAGCTTTCTATAAAAATATACGTCGATTAAGCAGTCTATAAACAATATTAAGCATATATATATATATATATATATATATATATATATATATACAAAAAATGTGCTTTCGTGTTTTATTAAATGCCAATTGCAACAAAAATTAACGACAAATCTGAATATAAAACAGGTTTTACTGCCCTGGATTTTTTCTAAATTCTAACAACGTTTTGTCAATTCATATATTGTATAAACACAGGTGACACTGCGGTAATAAATATGCTTTTTAAATTTTCAATAATATAATAAACACGAGAGCTTCTTTTGTTCACTTGTAGAAAGTTTTTGTGATGCAACGAGTAAAACACACTTGTTCGCGGGTATCGTAAAACAGGCGTATGTTTTCTTCAACATTTAATGTAATTACATATATACCAATACAATTGTGGTTAGTAGTAATAGATGTATGTTTTATTTGTCGATTCTCTTGTTACGTGATAATAATGGATAATTTCATTTTCATTATATAAATCATATAAATCAGAAGAGTAAAAACTTGTGGTTTCCATAGAATCCACTCGCGATTTAATCGGCGGTGAAGGCGTCATAATTATTTTTAGTCTTTCCAAAGATATAATTAAATGTTATATCGATCATAATAAAAGTTTTATGGAATATATAAGGAGTTCTTATTAGATTAGTGGTTAGGACTCGGACAGCCTGATGTTAAGCCGGAGTGACATTGGTTTTCACTTGGAAATATAGATATCAATATGTTTCCAAGTAAAATTAGCAATTAGTTTTTCCAGAAAAAATAGAAGACCGTGGGGTTGTCTCTTAATAGAGTTTAGTATTAAAAATAAACTTTATCTGAAATACCTAGTAAGGACAATCAAAGGATTACCTACTAATAACATTGTTTTTAGTAATAACCAGTGCTTAATACAGCTTATAGGACATGTAATTGTTCTCACTGCTGTAAAAATAATAAAAATGATAAAAATGTCGCAGATCAAAAGAATTGAGTAACATCTAAAAAAAGCTTTATATACAAATTGCTTCAATTTGGAGCCAACTTGATATCTTATAGACACTTGATATTTCAATAGAATCTTATTAATCCGGCACTTTGATAGTTCGACACCTCCAATAATCCGACATCCTTGCTGGACAATATATTGATTTTTTTTCTTAATATCAACGTTATTTTCCACTATATGTTAAAAATTATGACTTCTTCACTATAACCTAGTAACCCTAACATTCCAGTAATTCGACACCCTCTGTATTTTAATGTGCCAGATTAGTAAGATTCCACTATCAATGTTTCCAAAATATTTATACGTTTGATCCTCAATTAATTAAGTTTAATTAATGTTATTCTAAATTCATTATTACCTAGAGGAGCCTATTCTGATGTAGGCTTGCCAAGGAAAAGCTCCAAATCCTGCATCATCACCTCCAACAATTCTTCTTTGAGCAGCTTGTTTTGCTACTGATATTCCGCATCCTAAAAAATATTTTATTACATTTAAAATATTTTATTTTAATACATAAAAATCCATTTTTCACAATATAGAAACACTAATATTTTCTTTAATAGAGCAAATGAAGCAATTTTGATTTTGTTGATTGTTGTCAGACGACAGTATTAAAAATTTAATAAATACATTAATATTGAAAATACAACTATTTTGTAATTTCGATAGAATAAAACAACATGCATTAATTACAATTTGTTAATTCACAACTAAGTATTTATTATAAGCAGTAATAGAACTTTGCAGATTTCAAAAAAAAATATTTGGAAATATGGGATATCTCCTTCTTCGGAAAATATTTATAACAAATACAAATAATCATATAATTGAAAAAATTTACTTTGAAAATTGGCCATTTTCCAATTCTGTGGGAACCAACCAAAAATCATCAAAACGCATTAAAATCTGTTTCAAAATACGTAGAGAAAATACGTCTTCACTCTTCTGAGTTTAAAATTGAAAGTTTTTTGTGAAGAAGGGTACATTCCATATCACCAAGTATTAAAAAAATAATTTCAATACATTTTTATAAGAAAACAGGACGTTTTAGTTCAGAAGTTTAAAAATCATTATATATAATAAAACTGTCGATTAGTATTTAAAGTCGAGATGGATCAGGTGCAAAAATCTAACCTAACAAGTTGTAAGATCAGTAGTTTCTGTTTTTTAGTCTGGTATATATTTATAGTTTACTATAGAATTAAATTCTGTATCACATTACAAGATATGTAGCTTCACTTCTAAAAATTTAGACTAAAAATAGAAGAAAAATAGTGCCTATAAAATTTTACTTTAAAAAAATGGATTTAGCTCTTACCATATATTTGTTTTCATTTATATAGCTTAATCCATTATTTATGAAGGCGTGATCCCAAAATTGTCTATGTATTCATATCAATAATCAGAATCACATACTTCACAGATTCATGTTTTTTTCCAAATCTCACAAAACTAATTTGTAATGCACCGGTCCGGCGCGAGAAAAATTTCACCGCTTTTTGATAATCAAATTTCTTTTCAGTCATGGATCATAGTTTCAATTGGTAAGATAAGATTCAGCGGCACAATGCTGCTTTGTTTTCTCTCGTATCTTGAATCTAAGTGTTTCAAGTTCAGCAAATCTAGATGAACATTGTTCTGTGAGAACAATTACTTGTGTATCATTTATATGAAATTTGCATTGAATTAAAATTAGCATTTCGTTCACAACATGAATGAATGCGCCTCCCGTAATGATTTGGAATTCACTTCGACTTCTCGAAGATAATTGACATGATTTAATTTGATCTCGATTATTTGTTAAGGTTGAGCTTGAACATATAACAACTAATGACAAATTAGTAAATTATCAACGTATTGTCAAGGTCTAGAACGCTTAAGAGAAAGTAAATTTAATCTAGGTGAAAGTATTACTTCTTTACAAACAAAAGCACTGATCTAACGTGCTCGGCTCGTTATTGGACTTCATATGCGAACGTATGATTGTATAGGCGACATGCAAACATTCATTTGTTTTTATAAACGATATATGTAAATTTCTTACGTGCATCGCAAACATATGTCGAATTATCAATTCAAATTTGCATGTTGTTGATAATGCTTCGCTTTTGGCGCGAATTTGAGAACTTAATGTTATTTACGTTCGCCAATGTTTTCATATGTGTGCGCTGATGTTTAAATATAATAATGAAAGTAATCGATTTCACTCGTGGCCATTTTAAAATTCGCATGATATAATCAAATCAATAACTTTCGTTTTTAAAACGCACGAATCGATTATTTATTATAAGACTATTATAACACATTGTTCTTTTACATTTTATTTTTAGTTACATCTACAGACTGTTATATAAACTACAAAGAAGATAGATATATTGTTATTAAATAATACACAAAAACAATGATTTAACGCTAATGTTAATGACAGTTTATTATTTTTACTAAGAAGACAATCCAATGAGTTAGATTATTGATTTTTCCAAAGGCACGTGACTGTTCCAACCGATCGACCAATAGCGAGACAGGTCAGCATAGCGCGAGTACCCAAACCGAATACAACTGAATCTGTCGACACAATAGCAAATTTATTAAAAATAAAATACCAATCGAAACATGCACGAACTAGCAGAACACAACATGCACGTTTGAAAATTTTGCCAAAACCTAGATCTAGAGATGATCAGTATCAATATCGACCTGCGAGCTTCGGTCGTTTATGAAACTATATCAGAAATTTAGGCATTCTATATAACACCGTGCACGAAAATCAAATCCATGCCAGAAAAGTATCAAAATAAATTTAGATTTTTAATTTGGTAGCAAAGCGCATTCAAAACGAACTATTTGGATACGTTGAGCACACACTCACTAGGATCGTTCCTAATCGGTCCGTAATTCTCCAGCAGAGTTGTGATATCTGTCGCATTGTTTTGGGTACTCGCGATGCCCGTCGCAGCTTTGGCAGTTCGGTGACAGCAGCCTCTCAATAGACCAGGGCAAGTCCCATCCAGAAGTCCGCCGGACATCCAGCAAGCTAAGAAGAACTCGCAAGTGCCCCAAGCGCACGATTTGTGCTCGCCTGACGGTCACATGCGTCAACGAGTCACGGTCACGTTTACCAATACGAACATTACGCCGACACAAACAACGCTAATGTACTATATTATATTTTATTAATGAAAACAATGAAAACATACCTCGCTCTCGAACCCCTGGTGTTTCTTCTTGGAGATCCTGTAGATTGTAATCGCGCAGATCTTGAACATTGGCTAAGTCATTCACACCAAAATTTTGATCTCGGAAAACTACATTCTCGTTTCCATAATTCGGTCCTCGATACCCATTCGATGGATTGTCATACGAGGAATCCTCCTGAAACTTTACGTTCTCATAATTTTGAAACTTTATATTATCGTATGAAGATGTTGGATCCCCATAGGGAAAAACAACGCGAGGACTTCTCGTTTTCCAGTAAGGAGTACGTCCACCACGTGGGGGAAATTCTGAATACTCAGAATACTCCGCGTAGTCTGACGCTGCAGATGAATATAACTTTGGAGGAAAATATTCGCGGGTGTATCTTGCTGGCGGATACCTGGCTCTCGCCTCAGGAGCTGATTGCGACAACTCTTCACTGTACGGATGGGGTATACGTTGTATATCGTCGGTTAAGGAAAGTTCATCTTCGCGATATGGTTGTGGCCGAAAGGATCCAGGAAAACGCACTCGTCCTCTGCCTCGTCCCGGTGAGTCTATAGCTTGTGCTAATAGCAACCCTGTGACCAACGTCAGTACCCGCCAGTTGTTCTTACCCAGCATCCTAGAACCTCTATACACTGATCCTTCTTCTTTCCTCTGAATCGACGCAGCTCCGCATAGTAAACCGAACGTATCACGAACGGTGCTGCAGTCTCATATTCTTGCTGAAAATGACAGTCGACTTGGTAATGGATAAGTTAACTTGGCTTAAGAATACTGAGCATTCTTTTTTGTTATCTGTGAAAAAGAAAAGACTATTAATTTTGGTAATGGAAAAATAATATTTTGAGGTATTATTATATAATTAATCAATTCAAGTTCAAATTTTGTTTATAAAGATTATCAAATTTTGATCACGACCATGACCTGTAATTAAACCGTCGAATTTGTCTTCAATTTTCCTTTACCATCGAATGACAATTGTTCGAAATAACAATTTGTATAATAAGCCATGCAAAACGCTCGATTTGAAATGAAAGTTAATTAATATAAAAACGTGTACATTGCGATGGACGTAAACACTGGAAGCTCAATCGTCAAATCCGGTTGGCGACGATCACTCCCCAAGTGAACCGAACTGAACAATCCGTTTGGGTTTTTACTTTCTCCTGCGTAACAACAGTAGCGTGGTACAATCTCATTACAATGATGATGCGATTTTTCTGTAGGCACTGCCAAGGTCGTATGTTGTGTCAAAATTTCGACTAGCTTTTGAAAAAGCGCATTAATAATTAGACAAAGCAGTAGTGACATCAAGTTTTACTTGAAAACATAGTTAATAATATGCTTCTAAGTGAACATTGTAATAACAAAATATATCACAGATATGGGACAACTGTCGGGTTGTCATCTATAGAAAAACGATTTAGTTTGTATGTAATTTGCCATAAAAGCTCAAACAACCCCAAGTTTTGATAAAATAAAATAAAATTTGTCACATAGATATGGGATAGCAGTTGGGTTGCCATCTACGAAAAACGACGTAGTTTGCAAGTAATTTGCCATGAAAGCTCATAGAACCCTCAGGTTTTGATATAATAAATTAAAATTCGTCACACAGAGACAACTGTTGAGTTGCCATCTATAGAAAAAACGACGTTTTTGTAATTAAATTGCCATAAAAGCTCATGGAACCCTTAAAATTTTATCGTTGAATAATGTAATAGATACAAAACATATGCATAATCTAAAAGATGATAGTGCTACAATATTTCACATATTTCGTTTTAATGTGTGCTACATATATATCAAAAAACATGATTCTATAAGAAAATGAACTACTTGCAAGTTCAAAAAACATAAATATTTTCAAAACAATTTGTTAATTCGCTTTGACTTTAAAACAGTTATACTTTTGCTTCGACATATAAAAATCAACTGTGTAACTTAATTTAGTTTTATTTATATACATAAATAGTTAAGCAGGATATTAAATAATTATTTAGGACTATGAGCTGATTTTCCACTGATTTTTCTTTGACTATTAGGTTATCAAATATCTCCCTTCCGCTTTTTTGCTATTGGTTTATAATACAAAAAGGCGGAAGGGAGATATTTGACAACCTAATATTTTAGTTTTTTTTTTAAACCGAATTTGATGGCCACGATGTAGATCCTATGTATCGATTTGTTTTTCATGGAAATACGCATTTAATGAAAAATTAAATAGTTTTTTAACAATAATAAACAATTTTGATTATTTTATTTTTTGTCAAATAGCATTTAAGATATAATTTCATTTTATGAGCCAATGTATTACAGTTAGATTAAAAATTATATTGGAGACAATGATTTAACGTTAAAATTATTAATATTATTTTCCATAAAATTTTTTGAAAATTTAAATTAATTATTTATGAATTGTTATTTTGATATATCCAATAATTTTACAGCCAATACTAATAGTGTTTGCTGGAAACCAGTTAGTATAACCTTTGGAACGAAAAGCTTAATTAATTTTATAGAGCAGCATTGAAATCTCCGTACGCCCGATCGTGTATTTATGTTTATTTTCTTGCCTTACTTAAGTTCTGATAAATTTCTAGTTCAAGTACTTTATATGAAAGGTCAGTTTCTGAAATTATGTATAATTATATTAAGTTCATCAATTTCCAAACGATCACTATAAATATACATTACGCATATAAAGAATGCAAATCCTACTAATGCAACATCACAATAATTTATCAAGGTTATTACAATTTAAAAATTGAACAAGATTTAATTTTTGCCAATCGATAAAATTGCATTTTTCGAAATATAAAACGACATGTATACAAAGTCTATGAAACAATTTCAAAATTATTTGCCAGGATGCAAAGTAATATCGTATGATGAATGTTATAATTTACTATTGCATATTCTATCAAAATATCATGAAATACAAAATTGCCTTTTGCACAATGTTATTTACCTTGGAATATGTAATTCTTACAATAAAACGATTATTTTACAAATTGCTTCAAATCAGTAAAACAATCATGATTGTAGATTGAAAAATGATATGGACACATTATAGAATATTGTTATTAGTTTAGGTATGTGTTGTTTGATGGTTCTCGGTAATTACTTTCTTCAATTAAAAATACTTTTAGTATGATGTTTATTGTATAAATTCTGTTATAGCAATGAAGAAATTGTTTTGCAATTAATTATACAAATAAAATGCAGAAAGACTTTGTGAACATTGATCTTGCGTTTGTATAAGAGAATTTTAATTCAATATATTGTTCAAATTAGTGAGCCACATATTATTAAAAAACATAATATTCAACGATTCTTAAAATAAAAATTTTAACTCAATTTATTACATTAAGCATTGTTAAATTTTATGATTTGAGACCAATTGAAATTATTCTTTTTTTACAACAGAAAAGGGTTTCCTTCAAGAATTTTTTTTATATATCAATAACATGAGTATATTATCCAAGTTTGAGCATATTGTCAAATTGAATGTAACAATTTGATTTTTTATGTAGTATCTATTTTTTCTAAATTAACATTGTCAGTTTAAAAATTATATTCAACACTGAAATATACATTTAAATAAGTAAAAAGTTTTAAGTACATAAATTATATGGGATAGAAAAGGGTTTAAAGGTCCTTGGGGTAAAATGGTCTACCACTAACATCTCAAAAACAAATAAAGTTAGAAATTCTTTAACAATAATATTTGAAAATAAAGAGCAAAAGATGTATAACCAGTTCTCGAAGATAAATGTTTGAAAATCCATATCAAAAGTATTTTATTTCGTTGTTAGTTTTTTTAGTTGTGAGCACTGTTGTTTAGTTTACGAGACCTTAATATAATTCTCATGTATACATCATTTAATTGTTTTATAAGATGTATTGTTAATTTCAAGTTAGATTCAACAGTTTTTTTATATAACCTCTATAAAAGCTTACACATGTGTAGGGTAAATAGAACCAACTAAACCTTTACCCTGGCAAAGGTGTAAACAAAGAAAATAGTAAATAAAAAGTGAATTAAATCAACAATTTTACAAGAGATAAATTAAATAAATAGTTATTCCAACTCTGCAGATAAATATTTCAGACAAAATACCAGATCAAGGTTGTTTACAGTCTCTGTAAAACGTGCACCTTTCAAATTTATATTTTTGCATTGGTTGAATAGTGTACCTATTATTTTGTAAAATCTTCAAAATTAAAATAAAACATTGGGCCTGTTTGCCCCCTAGCTGCCTCAATTTACTTTGTGTGGTAAAAAGGAACAGATGACAAACTTCAGAAAAATAGTTAAAAAACGCATTTATATAATTAGGAATTAACTGGGAATTTCACTGAACATAGTTCGATGGTTGCTTGTTTGATACATGTTATGTGTTGTGAGGTAGTTTATTTGGTTTACTGTATAATTACTTAATCAAGTTGGATCTTTGTGCCCCGCCCTACCCTATAGCAAACATTTCAATTAATTTAAAAGCATATTTAAGGGTTAAATATTGTAATACATTAAATTCACAAATGTTCAATTTTTAGGTTGCTTTGCTGAATGATTATACACGGTACGTATTAGTAAATTATTATTTACATTATTTTAATTCGACTCTATATTCAAAAACAATGTGAAAATATATTTATTACTAAGATCTTCGACAATTTAAAATTAACAACATAAATTGTTTCTCTGCAATCGTAAACTTTCCTAATAAAACGTAGCTCAGAGTTGTGATAACAGAAATCGAAAGTTTCTTATATTTTTCACTTGTCAATTTCACCTGATAACGTCCGGATGCTAAAGTAAGAATTATTAATACAAACACTTGTACCACGCGACTTATGAATATTAAATTTGGCGCCACAGAGATCTGTTGCCGAAGGCGATCATCTGCCACCGGCCGTTTCCATTAATATATATGACACTGCATATAATATATTTTGTGCAACTGTTTTGGCCCGAATACGTCATGTTAAGTAATAATGATAGCTTGTGACAATTTAGGATGCAAATTAAGCGTGTATCTATAAGTCAATTTTATTGACTCAATTTTGACTGGCTGCTCAGAAGCCAGAATTTCTCGACGTTTTTATTATGTGCATATCAGTTTTTGGCAATGGTTTAGCAGTATTAGTATCTTGACTATTCTGAAGTATAGATCTAATAACTGAAAATTTGCTTACAAACCCTAGCATATATCAGTAGCATCAGTTTTTACTTGAAAATGTAGATGGCAATATGTTTCCAAGTAAAAATAGCCTTTGTCAGTCTATGTATGGCAATGAGCCAACACCTTTGCGCGTCGTGATTATTATGTACTCGACTGGCAGACCCTTGCAACCGTCAGAATGGGCTGGCTTTTTACATATGCTTTCTGAACAGTTAAAATAATACACCCTAAAAATTTGAGCCTTGTGGGTGCAAGTTATGAAAAATTTTTGCACTTGAAAAAATAGTACTTTCTTAATGGGTCGATAATAAAATATCATTAAAAAAAATTTTAGCTCTGAGAAAACAGGTTAGTCAAATAGTTAGCTGGCTCTTTGACTATGAGAGCTTCTAAATTTAGCACGAATTATAAGACTTTTGAATTCTGTTT